CCCCAAAACCCCAAAACCCCAAAACCCCTAAATGATAAAATATCTTTGAAAAGTTAATATCAGATTGAATTTATAATTTAAAATACAAGCTAAAATGAAGACCTAATACATTACGGTTCCTCCAGAGCTTAAGTCTAAAGTTAATAATGTTAAGAATAGAATTCTCTTCTTGTCCCCATCAATCACATCTGGTGAGGAGAGAGAATGTAGAAAGGACGATTTCGAGTCACTAGCTAACTCAAATATTGGAGTTGGTGGTTTTGGTAAGGTCTATAAGGTGCGACACAAAGTATCGAAGAATGTTTTTGCCATTAAAGTCATTAATAAGGCGAAAATTATTGAGCATGACTTAGTTGAATAAATTAAGCTTGAAGTTAAGATTATGTATAACTTGAATCACGAACATATTGTCAAGCTATATAACCATTATGAGGATGATGATAATTTCTATCTTATTCTGTAGTACTGCTCAAAGGGGCAGCTCTACACTATGCTTAAAAGAGAAGGAAGACTTAATGAGAGAGTGACTGCTTAATTCTTGAGAGAGGTTATTTCAGCTGTATAGTATTTACATTCGTTAGACCCACCCATTATTCACAGAGATATTAAACCAGAAAATATCCTACTTGATTCCAATAACTCAGTCAAACTTGCTGATTTTGGTTGGTCTAATTTCTTTAATGATGAGAGAAGAAGACTTACTTACTGCGGTACTCCTGAATATTTAGCTCCAGAAATGATCAAGCAATGTGGACACGATAAGTCCCTAGATATTTGGAACATAGGAGTTCTCATGTTTGAGCTCTTGACCGGAAGTCCACCATTTGAAGGTGCTAATTAAAATGAACTTTTTGACTCAATTTTGAATTTCAGAATTAAATGGCCAAAGGGATTCTCAGGAGTTGCTAGAGACTTAGTATCAAAATTACTAAAAACTAACCCATAAGAAAGAATCAATTTGGAAGAAGTTACTAACCATCCTTGGTTTAAGGCTAATCCTCCTATTAAGCCAGTCTTAACTTAAGAAGCTCCAGCTGCTACCATAACGCAACCTCCAAAGAAACTGCCGATTGATTCTGATACTATTCAAAAAGAGAACTACTAAGTTGTTTCAAAGCCATCTATTGCTAATAAAGCTGAAACTCAAAATGAAACTAGACAATCTGTGCTAATAGATTAGAAATTAGCAAAAGTTAACATAAATCTTAATAATCAACCCGAAAAAGATTCAAAGGATGCCAATATAGAGGAGCTTAACCAAAAACTTATCTAAACTAAGAAAGAGCTCAATGACTTGAAAATGAACTACACAATGAAATGTAAAGAAATTGAATAATGTTAAAAAGATAATACGGAACTCAAAGAAACTCTCAATCAGAAAAACGCTTACAGTTCAAAAGATAATACAGAGGTCAAAAAGCTGTTAGAGGAAAATCAAAAGCTTAGAAGTTTAAATAAACATAGAGACGAAATTTTAAACTAGATGGAATCTTAAAATAAAAGCTTAAGAGACACCGAAACCTAGCTTAAACTTACTCAAAATGATTATGAACTTCTTCAAAATCAAAATAAGAGCTTAGAGATGAAAAACAAGGAGCTTTAGGAAAAGATCGAATAGCTTGACAATAAATTAGCATAATTCAAGGATAAGGCTTACTAAGCAGAGAAAGAGAAGGAATAAGTAACTATTGAATATCAAAACAAGATCGAATTCCTTCAATATAAACTACTCAACAAAGTAGAAAATGATACCTCTTCAGGTGATGATTCAAAGAATGGAAGTGGATAGTTCAAAGAGCTCTTAGGTCTTTGTAAGAGCGATTTAGATGAGATTCTAAATAGACTAAAGTCTTAATTCCAAAATGAGGGCATTGAAGATCAATTGAGAAAGGAATTACTAGAGTAATCCAAGAAGACCAATGAACTCAAGTCACAACAGGAAAGATAAATATATGAATTAACCAATGAGAATTTCTAAAAGATTGACAAACTATAATAGAAATATGATGCTGAGAAGAAAGCTGCCATTCAAAAACTCAAGGAGGAGATTGCTCTTAAAAACGAAAGAATTAAGGAACTTGAAAAGAATGAAAAGAGATTCCTAAGTGAAAAAGAAAAAAGTGAGTCGTTCCAAAGATAACTTAGAGAAATCCAAGAGAAGTTAAAGAGCTTGCAGACTGATAGAGATATTCTTGAACAAGACAAGAAATATCTCGAAGATACTGTCAAGAAGTATGATGAGAAAATCATGGATCTTGAATATCAAGTTAAAAGAAAATGAGTGAGTGATTTTATCAGCATATTCATCTATCTTGATTAGTTAAACATTAAAAGTAGCAAATTTATTTTATATGCTTGCAGATACTTAACTTAATATTTAAAAATGAAAATAAGTAATAAATCATTTGCGATTAAATTAGCTTTAAATTCACTGAGCAAATCTTGTTTGATATTCCATTAGCTTCCCACCATCATCCTCTTTTAGTCCAGTAATTATAGCAAGATATTCAGCGAACTCAATTGTGTCATCACCTCTAGTTTGAAGAGTTACAAACAATAGGTAGTTATCCTTTTCAAAGAATGGTTTATAGCTCATTGAAATTCTTTCTTCACCGTAAGATTAGATATCTTTCATTATTGCACTAAGGATTATATTAAGTCTTGAGAAACAGCAGTGAAAATATTCCTTTTACTAAGAGAATTCATTGAAATCTTCGACTTAGGAGAAATATGCTAAAACGTCTTACATTCCTTGATTATTCAAAACCTATTCCAATAATGAAGCGAAAAATGACTTGAAATCTTCCTTAAGTTTTGTGTTTGCCTAAAATAGATCAAGTCCAAATCTATGTATTGCTAGAAATGTCAATTCTGAAGAAGCTTCATACTAATCAATGCTAACTGCTTGTTGATGGAAAAGCATTAGTTAAATAAATTACTTCATAACTTTAAATCTGTTTACTGATTCAGCAATCAGATCATTAATACTTTTTCTTGAGTCTTATTGCTTTTAACCATAAAGTATTTGCAACTTATTTTAGAAATAAATTGGAATATCATGGCTAAAAGATTAGAACTTCTCCTTTTTACTAATAGAGTCTAAATTATCGAGGAATTTAGATTAATCATTGTCGATATCTAATATAGTTTCACTAATTTATTTGCCATATTGTGATGGTGAGTAGATGAATTGATACAATACTTTTTCTCTGATAGCAAGCTTATTAAAAATATCTTGATTAAAAGGCGTCTCTTTTGATTTAAAATCATTAAGCATTATTCTTAATAGTTCACCGGCTAATGTTGACTTATCTCTCTTAATTAGTTAAGTAAATTCCATCTCTAAATCTAATATCAACTACAACTCTCCTTTAGCTATCAGATTTTAGAAGAGAGCAAACAACAGTTGAATATCTTTGTGTTATCTAATATGTACTAATATATCTTTATACTGATATGTGCTGACTAGTTTTTAGCAAAGTCTATCTCTCATTAGAGGGTTTTTAAAATTGGTTAAAATTGTAAGTGAAGGCATGTTGATGACATTATCTTCATCAAAATAATACATGCTATAATATTCGTAGGGTAATTCCAAAGTATCAATGAGTCCTTTAAAGCAGTTGCATGATTTCTCATCTTTGATAAAAGTCTAGAACAAACTTTAAACTTGATTTATCAATTGATCATGAATGATTTATTCTTATTGAAGTCTATCATCATTTTCTGATTCAATATAATCAATAAGAAGCTTTTCATAATTTTGATTCATGCCTATACTCTTTATTACATTTTTATATGCCTCAATGTCCCTTTATTCAAACTAATCACTCAGTTATTTTTTTAAGTATCCTCTTTACTTTTGATCTGTATCTTTTATTAATGCAAAACCAAATGATGCTAACTTAACATTGTAATTTTAAGGATTAATTAAGAACGATGAGGGTCGAATCATGTTATGATTAACATTTTTTAAATTTGACAAAGTCTTAACTATTTTAAAGCCTACATATAGTTTTTTCTCTTCTGAAGGTGACTCTTATTTTCTAGTTTGGAGATCAGAATTCCAAATTTATCTAATTGAATTTAAATCCATGACTGGCCTGTCTACTATAACTGCATAAGTAATTGGCTTTCCATCTAGAGTAAACATGTACTACTTTTGATAAAGATCAAATTAGCTGATATATTTCTTGAAAAAATGAACTTCATATAAGCAATTAACAATTAAATCTGAGTTTATGGAAACATAGAGGAACTTTTAACTCTTTTGCCTCTAGACAAATCTATAAATTTTCCATTACTCGTGTATACCCACATATTCTAATAAGGATTTAACTTAGTTTTAGAGATCTGTCAAAGATGGAGGTGAGTTGCAAGCAACAATATCCTAAATTTCACTCTGATATTTCACATCAATGTGAGTGTAATAAGTCAAGTATGGCATTTTGTTGAAATCATCAATCTATGTAACAACTGCATCAGTAACTTCAGCTGCTTTAGGATTTACCTTTAGTACTGGTCTTGGCTTGTAAAACTCTAAAATAAATGAATTTGGAGCTTCATTTTCCTCGCATTCAATTTCATTGTACTCAGGTTCAGGTGTTTTTATCTTGTCCTAAACATAAGGCATTTCAATATGTTCCTCGTGGTTAATTTATTCCTCTAATATCAATTCTTACACAATCTAATCTTCTACAGTTTATTTTTCCTGCGATTCCTAATCTTCAACTTTTTGAATTTGACTAATGACTTCTTCAACTACAGTTGTGGTAATTTTAGCCGCAAAGATTTATTAAATAGGATTAATTAATTCTGGTTGCACTTCAATATCAGTCACTATTTTCTTGATACTCTATCTTAACGCTTAACCTCCAAATCTTAATAAAAAGGCTTAATCACCGATTAAATGAATATTTTAGACCACTTAGCCATTTTCAATATCAAAACTAGAGAGATCAGATTCATTTATCTTTTGAATTTGAATCTGACCATACTTCTCAGTAGATCCATCATATTCGAAACCTTTTAAGACAGCAAAATGCATATCAACCGACTAATTATTTCTAATTGTCAAGACGGCTTGCAAGAATTGGTCTTTATAGGAGCTAAGTAAACTACTTATTTCATCAATATCGTTTACTTAATGAACAGACAAAAAGAAATCTGGATCTTGTTTTCTATATAAGTTATTTCCTTTGTGTGGATTAACCATGACAAAGTGAAAAGTATTTGTATTTTTCATATCTTAATAACCTCCTATTACAAATAAGCCCTCATTTTCATAGAATTCTTGCAAGAATGATTGCAATTATTCAGTAAGCTAATCAGCATGATTTATCTAGAGAATGTTTGTTTTGATTCTTACATTTTCACAGAGGTTCTCAAACTTAATATGATCCAAGTTAACTTCATATCTTAGAGCTACTACTTAATTAACTAGTACTACTCGAAGTTACAATTTGGGATCCTCATTATCATTTTAGAATGTAAAGGGTATGAAGGTTTTATTAGTTAGTTCAGATAATTTTGAAGAAATTTCTTTTAAAATTGTTTGAGTAGGGTTGAAATCTTTATTGAAAGTTTAGCTTCCAACTTCAAAAAGTTACTTTGCATTTAATTTCTTTACTTTGAATGTCACTATATCGATATTCTTGTTATTCTTTACTTGTTCCGCAATGGAATTTATAAGTTCTTCTCTGTCCTTTTAACTATTCATAAGTTGAAGGTTTCTTGGAGTAGCTTAGGCACTAGCATTATCTCCCCCCGAGCATGCTGAAACACAATTTCCCATATTATAATGATAATATTATTTAGCTATTTGGGAATTATTAGCAAATCTAAATCTCTATTTCCCCATATATTATTGTTAAGTGGGGTTTTGGGGTTTTGGGGTTTTGGGGTTTTGGGG